GTAATTTATGGACAAAAACAAGATGACAAATTCAAAAAAAAAATATCTAATTTTGTGACAACTGTGTATATTGTCAGATTTAAATATTATAATCTCAAACTTAATATTCTAGAAACCAGTTCGCCAAACAGAGTTTTCTCTAACTTGATTAATAATCGAGATAATTATATTTGAATTTAAATAGAGAATGTTACCTAACTACATACTCTATATTCCATGTAGTATGCGTCAATGAAGATGTGAGTATTTGATATCTTGTTATTAAGACTAATTAAATTTTACTCTTTAAAAACATAAAATATGTATATAATTTTTGATTAAATAGTTCATTAAAATTTAATTAGTTATTAATAAAATGTTTTGCATAAATGTAATATTAATAAAATTTTCATTTTACTTGTTCCTGTAATTTTGACAGTATAAAGTTCTAGTAGTGAATGGCAGTATTAGACAGACAAAATAAAAAATTCTCGTATTTTCAGTAATAGTATAGTAAAAATTGCTATTAGTCAGACAGATTTATAAAATTTTTGTAACTTATATAATAGGAGTAAAAAAATGTTTAATTTTCAATTTCAACACCTATTACCTCACTTAAGGCAACCCATATCATAAAAAAATTCATTTCTTCTTAGGCAAACGATTTTATTGCAAATTCTTACACATAATACACCTAAAAGTGTAGAAACAAATTGACAGCCAAATCCAAGTAGAGGAAGACACCTATTATCAACATTTAAGCGTTTTTCGTCAAAAAAAATTTTCAAAAATATTCAATTTTTCTTAGGCAGCCCAGGTGAAAATTTTAACGTTACTAACGTTACTAATGTTACTAACATTACTAATGTTACTAAAGTTAGTACCTATAAAAAATTAAGAGTTTCTAAAATATATTTTCACAGAAACTTTGACACTACTTTCCCATTACCACTTTCACTTCCACTTAAACTTTTTATAATTTTCATTCCCATTTCCACTTATACTTTTTCTAATTCTCATTCGCACTTCACTTCCACTTTTTCTAATTTTCATTCCCATTCCTATTTCCACTTTCGATTTTTTATATTCATTGCCACTACCACTTTTTTTCTAATTCTCATTCCCACTTTCACTTCCACTTGTTCCAATTTTCATTCCCATTTTCACTTCCACTTTTTCTAATTCTTATTCCCACTTTCACTTCCACTTGTTCCAATTTTCATTCCCATTTTCACTTCCACTTTTTTATATTCATTGCCACTACCACTTTTTCTAATTCTCATTCCCACTTTCACATTTCACTTTCACTTTCACTTTCCCACAATGGAAGTGCGAATGAGAATTAGAAAAAGTGGAAGTGGAAGTGGTAATGTAAATAAAAAAGTGGATGTAAAAATGGGCATGAAAATTATAAAAAGTGAAAGTGAAAATGGGAATGAGAATTAGAAAAAGTGGAAGTGGAAACGGCAATGAAAATAAAAAAGTGGAAGTGGAAGTTGCACAAAATACACCTAAAAGTGTAGAAAAAAATTGACAGCCAAATCCAAGTAGAGAAAGACACCTATTACCAACATTAAAGCGTTTTTCGTCAAAAAAAAATTTTCAAAAATATTCAATTTTTCATAGGCAGACTATTTTAATGCAATTTCCTGCACAAAATACACCTAAAAGTGTAGAAAAAAATTGACAGCTAAATTCAATTAGAGGAAGTCTCCTATTATCACGCATAAGGCAACCCATATCATAAATAAATTCCAAAAAAAAAATTCAATTTTTCTTATACGGACGATTTTATTGTAGTTACTACCGGTTGGAGTCAGACGGAAAATATACTTGAAATTGAAGTGAATTCCTGTAAATAAAATTTTCAATACGATCTAAATTAGAATTTTTTTGGAAATTTTAAACGCGTAGGGAAAAAATAAAGAAAAATTGAATTTGTAGTAATTAAAATGAGTACTTTCAATTAGGATTCTTCAATAAGAGGATTAACGATGAAGTAGAAGAAAGGGGGAGAAGAAGAAGAATCAACAAACTATAATTGACGAAAATTCTCGAAAGGGTACATGCGTTACATTTATGTACTTAACAAGTTTCATTTTCAGCCGAGCGTGGCCTAGTTGAATAGGTTAAGGGTTCCTGTTTCTGGCAATCGAATCAAGTGGCGCACATTGGAAAGTGAATGAAGCAAAGGGTCACCCAACTTGGGCAGACGTTAATGCAACCCTCTTCAACTCTGCAGTCTCTTATATATAGTATATGAACGCAGAAGTGAGGTGTATATACCCCCGTTTTACTTTTGCAATCCCCTTGGCCCCTCATCTCATTTCTCCATATATAAACCACTTTAGAATTGCAGGCTCCTCTCTCTCTCGCTCTCTCTCTTTCTCTTCTGCTATATACTATTTCACCACTTCACCCTCATAATGCGATTATTTCACGGTGACTTTACTCCTGGCTTCAAGGATGTCTGAGAGAGTTCGTGAGATTTTCAAATATTACCGAGTCATTTATCAAGGTTCGCCAAATGAGTTAGACTTTTTTAGAGGAGAGACACACTTATCTTTATATATTATATACATATATATATAACATTACAAAAGCAGGATCTCTTTAAGATTGATAAATAATTGCAAGGCTGTTCAAATATTTTTTTTTACGATAAGAAAATATAATACAAAAAATTTACTTTATTATTTTTCCTTATCAATTATAATTGAAGATTTTATCAATATATCAAAATAATAATTCCTGAATTTATTTGGATTATAAATATTGTACAATTTTTCAAAAAAAAATTAATTTAGTGAATTATATATATTTCTATTGTTTGTTATTACCATTTTTGTTAATTTGAGAGTAAGAGAGTAAGAGAGAGAGAGAGAGAGAGAGAGTAATATGTTGAAATGAAATACTTAATCCTACATTATGATCAATCACTGCTGTCAATCTCGAATCATCGAATATTATGATTAATTACAGCATTCAGTAATGATTGATTCTTATATATTATACATACTCGCGTAAGATATCAATGTATATTTGAAATTATTTTGACATTCATAAAAAAAAATGATTAAAAATGCTTTTTGTATTTTTAGATGTCAACAAATATCTTATTTTTATAAATAATTTTTATTTTTTTATATTATATTTCTTAGTAAACCAGTTTTAATCTGTTTTTATATTTTGCCTGTATACGTTTGTTAAATAAATAAATATTATATATTAAAGGTGTATGCAAGTTTTTAGTCATTTGCAAATAAAAGTTTTTTTTATTGTTAGAAGTAGGTAAATGCCCGTTTCTATCAGACGTGAAGATAAAAATTTTTTTTAAACAAATACTAGTAGTAAATGACAGTTTTAGTCAGACGGAAAGTATTAAATACTTCAAATCTACTTATCAGTAGTAAAAACAGTTTGAGTCAGACAGAATTGTCCTTACATTGGTCAATTTAGTTGTTAGTAGTAAATGTCAATTCTAGTCAGACAGAAAAATGTGAATTCTTTGAATTCAAATGTTAGTGGTAAAAGTCAGTCTTGGTCAGACAGAATAGAAAATTCTCATATTTTCAGTATTAGTAGTAAAAATTGCTTTTAGTCAGACAGAATTATAGAATTTTTGTATTTTATATATTAGTAGCAAAAAAAATGTAGTTTTCTATTTCAAAAAAATTTTTATTCTATTTTTTAGAACAAATGGAGTTTATTTATTACTTGTTCATTATTTATTAATTTGTACTGAAAAAAATAGATGAAATTTATTGATTGATTATTTAATAATGAAAGTTGCTTTTCTTTTTGCAAATGACTAAAATTTGAAATGTCATCTATGAAATAAATTTCCCCTTTTTTAATTGACCTTTTTTCCCCCATTTTAATGAACAGTCATTCATAATAAATATATTTATTATACAATAAAGCAATTAGTTGGTTAATTAACTATTTCCGCTCCAATTAGGAAATTATTTTTTAAAGAATAGAAAAAGCGTCAATAAACGAGTTTCTTTAATCTACACTGAAATAATATTTAATGGAATTTTCTAGATGACTTTTTCGCCTTGACTTAAAGGATTTCTCAAGATCTGTTTCTCTCTCTCTCTCTCTTTACTTCCCTTTAGACAATAGAGAGTTGGAGTATCGGTTTCTCACTTAGTGCTCTCCTCACAATGCTATTTCTTTTCGGTACTCTTATCAGACTGACCGAATGGCTTTACTTTCAGATAAAGGTTATCCAATATTCTGTACGTTTTAGAAAATGTTGTCATTGCTGTTACAGTTGATAAAATCACAGAAAACATTTTTTTTTCTTTTTCTCAAATTTATATAAAATGTTTTGCGTTTTAAATAAAAATTAAAAGAAAAATTTCTTTTCTCAAAAAAATAATTTTACTTACTATAAAAACAAATTTAAAATAATTACTTTTTAAAAAAAAAAATTTTTTTTAAATTTACTATTTGAATTATAATGACTTAAATCAAATTCTTGTATTCGTTTAATTAATTTTCATTTTTTTTCTTTGAGATAATTAGTTACAGTTTGAAAAGCAAAGGAGAAAATATATATATATATATATATATATATATATATATATATATATATATATAAGTTTAAAAAGAGAACTTTCTATACTATAGTAAACTCTGTTTGAACCATTTTGTTTTACGATTATGAGTTAATTAAACTACATTGTTATTTCATCGCCTTTTCATAATACACAGTATTAATCGAATTTTACCACCAAAGAGTTTAAACTAGAATTTAACTGTTTAGCATTGATTATTATTATTATTGTTACTATTCATTATTATTATTATTATATACATTATGAGAAATTCTATTGAGACAATGTTTAATCTCGATTACAGCTAATAATATATATATAACACTCTTTTCCTTCAATATTTTTTTGTTTAAAAATAAATAAATTAGTGCCAACAAATATCAAAATCGTGCATTTAAATTCAAAAAACGATTGTCAAAAATATTATATATATATATATTTGTTTATGTCACTCACCTTATTCGGCGGTGTTTGTATTCCATGAAATGGTAAATTTTCGTAAAATGTTTTCGTATCGGGATCGGTCATTCCTTCTGACATATTACCCATGTGATTGCTGTTTGTCGTTTGATTCGGATCTGCAAATATTATTTAGAAAAAAAAAATACTGTTCAATTAATTGTTACAACAAAAAAAAAATAATTACTGTATAATGAATTTTTTTTCACTTTTATTTCAAATTTTTTAATATTTAAAATTGACAAAGACAATAAAAAATATTCCCTCAATATGAAAGTAATAAATTAAAATATTTTATTTATATCATAAATGAAATGAAATATTATTTTTAGAGTACAATTTTATTTTGAATAAATAAGTACTTAGTGACGAATGACAGAAATGAAATTATTTTAATTATATTATAAATCAAAATATTATTTTGAAAAATATTTTTATTAAATAATTAAAATTTTAATGAATTTTTTTTTTTTTTTTTTTTTGAATAAAGAATATTTAGTTATAAATATGAAATGGACGCATTTCCAATTTTGAATGATGTAAATATCCTGAATGTGAACTAGTGACTGAATATATTATGGATAACGAATAATTTACTGTCATTGATTACACTCGGAAAGTGTCAATACGAATTAGCATTCTAATTAACCTCTTTGCACAACTGGAAATGGAAACGAGCTCGTCATCACTTAAAAGCAATTAAGTTTGAAAATTGATTCATTACAGATTCTATTTTTTGATGAATTTTTTTTTTTTTCAAATAATATACATAGATATAAAATATAATAATTATTGCTATTTTCTCTTTTATAAAAAATTCGTTATAAATAAATTAAATTTCCTCTTTAATCTAAAAATTCTGTGAAGTTGAATGAGAAAATAATATAAAAAATTGAATAATTTTTTTTATCAAAAAAAAAAATGATTAATCTAATATATATGTGAAAAACATTGAGAAAGAGATTATAAATTAAGGACATTATAAATATAAATAATCAAGAATAAACGTTTATAAAAATCGTGCAAATATATATATATATATAAATATTAAAAATTATAAATATAAAAACAAGAAAATCATACCTGATCCAGGTTTTTTACGCTTACGGGATACATTGGGCCTTGATTTGGTCAGATCTGATGTTTTAAGAGCATCGTGCAAAATCCTCTGTCGTGGTTCTATTCGCTTGTAAGTCACGGCTAAAGGAAAACACATAACATACGAAATGCATCGTCACAACACATAAAGCTTTGTCACATGCGCGCATAATACACGCTCTCTGACTTTTTGGAGAATGTGAGAATGTGTGTGTGTGTGTGTGTGTGTAAGAGAGATGAGAACAGACCAAAAGTGACATTTTCCTCGCCAAGTAACACTTAGCCGAAAGCTAGTTGAACTTTATTGTCAGAGACTCATGTTAAAAACCATGCAACACATATAAATTTGACTAAAATGAAATTCTTCCCTTCAAAGTTTTTTAACATGTGCGAATAGTTTAAGGCGCTCGTGGCCTTAATATTATGTCGTCAAGGTGGAAGAAAAAAAAGAAAAAGAGACGCGATCGAATTCAATTTTTCGACACTACTGACGATGTACTTTTTTATTAAAACGGAACAAGAGAGAAAGAAAGAGAAAGAGAGAGAGAGAATGTTGAAGTAGCAAAATAAGCTAAAGTTACTGCCGCTAGACTGGCAAAATTCGGTACTGCATGAAAGGCCTCTCTCTATACGTTTTGCTATTTCAGCGATAATCCAACTTTTACCCAAGTGAGTGAGAGAGAGAGAGAGAGAGAGAGAGAGAGAGAGAGAGAGAGAGAGAGAGAGAGAGAATGTAAAGACTTCGGGGGAAAAATTGGAAAACGATTAAAGTACATTTCGTTCAGTTAAGCCCTCATTTTTATTTTAATATCGTCGTTTCTAATATTTTTTTTCCCCTTTGAAGAAACATATTTTCTTTTATGACAAATATAAATATGAAAATAAAAAAGGAAAATAAAAAATATATAAATAAAAGAAATAATAAATGAAACAACAAATTAATGAGATTGAATAAAAGTTCAACTTGTTACTTGGCTAGAAATACGTTTACTTTATTTTTTTTTTTTCGCAAAAAAATAAAATTAAAAAAGGAATATAGTGAGAGGGAGAAATATGAAACAAGAAATGTCATTATTTGTAGAGAGGGTATGTGGTCCAGATGATGGAAAATAAATTTTTAATTCGAAAAAAAAAATGTGTTTAAATTCATTTGCTCTAAAATGCCTCAGAAATATAAATATTATTTTATTACTTCTATGTGTAATAATAATTTATTATAAATAGGAAAAATAAATTATTTAATAATTATTATTATTAACAAAAACCTCATGTATGTATGTGAATCACTTTTTCAAATTTTCACACATGGAATGTTATGCGAGAGAAAAAAATATTGGATTAAAATTTAAAAAGTACAAATGTAAATTAAAAAATGTAAATGTAATTGAAAAAGATTTTTTTAAATTAAAAATAAACTTTTGTAAAAATATACATTGTTCTCGACATATTTCAAATTTATTTAATTTTTCCCATTTTATTATTAAAAATAAAATCCGTTTTGTTTTTCAATTTTTAAATTTTCACTAATATCGACAAAAGGGTAATTATAACAATTGAATAAAATTTTTCCACTCAAAAATTATATAATTTAAAAATTATTTTAAGATATATTTTTTTTAATTTCAAATATAAAAATATAATAACAATGTTTGGGATTTTGTGATGTTAAATATTTATAATTAAATATAACAGAAGCAAAAATTTATATTATTTTTTTTATGAAAAAGAAGATAAAAATAGTTTTGTATAATAATACTCAAACGGATTTTTATGAATGACATACTAGTTCAAGTGAAACTGTTTGATACATGATATAAAAGTAAAAAGAAAAAAAGAAACGTGAGAAAGAAAAGCATCGGTAAAATATCTTTATATATAAGCGTTTCAAAAGCTTTATAGGCGACAAAAGAAAAATTTTCATATTTCTCAGTACTTTATATATATAGAATTTTTTTTTTTTTCACAAATCAAAAAGCTTTATTGTTCTCTTTTGGTGTCGTTGAAAAATTAAAAATACAATGAAACTGCAAATATTGATTTAATTTTTTTTTTTTTTTTTGAAAATTTGCACATAAATTGCTATAAAATTTTTTATAATAACTGTAATTTTTTGAAAATTTCAAAATGGCGGATCCAATATGTCGAATAAAAAAAAATAATCTGATTTTTATGAAACTTGATAATGTTTTTAATTTTACACTCTAAATCTGAATTAGTAAAAATGTTTACTAATTTAAATTAGTGACTCACTTTTTGCTTTAGAATTAGTTAAATTTTACTAATTGTTACTAAAAGTTATTAATAATTAGTAAAATTTTACTAATTCATAAGCAAAAAGTGAGTTACTAATTCAAATTAGTAAACACTTTTACTAATTCAGATTTAGAGAGTAGTGAAAGTCAGTTTCAATCAGACGAATTTAAAAATTTATTGTTAAATATTAATTTAATAAATTTATTATTATTTTTCTAAATTAGTAGAAAATGTTATTTTGAATTAGACATATTATTTTTAAATTCTCTAAAATTAAATTTCCTTCTTCCCACTGATCGAAACTGACTTTCACTACTCTTTAAATCTGAATTAGTAAAAGTGTTTACTAATTTGAATTAGTCACTCACTTCTTTGTTTATGAATTAGTAAAATTTTACTAATTATTAGTAACTTTTACTAACAATTAGTAAAATTTAACTAATTCTAAAGCGAAAAGTGAGTCACTTATTTAAATTAGTAAACATTTTTACTAATTCAGATTTAGAATAATAATAATAATCGGAATTAGTAAAAGTGTTTGCTAATTTGAATTAGTGACTAACTTCTTTGCTTACGAATTAGTAAAATTTTACTAATTATTAGTAACTTTTACTAACAATTAGTAAAATTTAACTAATTCTAAAGCAAAAAGTTAGTCACTAATTTAAATTAGTAAACATTTTTATTAATTCAGATTTAGATTTTATAAAAAAAAATTGTATTAACAAAAAAGTTTAGATAACTGTTTGTTTCATTAATTAATATTTAATACAAAATAATTCATTATTAGTATATAAATAAATAAATAAATTAGTAAAAAATAATTTTTAACTAATAACACCGAAAATTAAAAGGTATTAAAATAAGCTGCATCGCTTATTATTTTAATCCAATTTTTTTAATCCAAAATTGTATTAAAATAATAAGCGTTGCAGCTTATTTTAGTGCCTTTTAATTTTCTGTTTAATTAGTATGACAAATATTACTATTTGAACCAGTGATTAACTGTTTCCGATCAAATTAGTTATTGTCAACTAATTTAAAATTTAGACAAGCTATTTTTTTACGTCCTACTTTTCGAAAATGATTAATTTTTTCACAAATGTAAAATATTATGTTATAAATACAAAAAAAAAAAATTATTTAATAATTAAAAAACAAACATTAAAAATATCGAGCGGTAAAAAAATTAATTTTTCAAAATATTGAGAAGAAAAATATTTACGTGTAAATATTTCACGTGTATTGCAATATAAACCATATATATATATATATATATATATATATATATATATATATATATATATTTTTACAGCATCTCATTCCATGTATAAAAAATGTCTATCCACGTCGCAAGGGGAATGTGATTCGTGTTGATGGAAGTGAGACATTAAAGAAAACGGTTTGTAATTTGATAGGAGAGGTGAAAAAAAAAAGAATCCTTTTTTTTTTTTTTTTAATGGTCGTCGGAATATAAGAGAATGGGGTCAAACGTGACGTCGTCGAGAAAAACTCTTTGGATAATTGGAAGTGTGAGAAAAGTTTGTGTGTATTTGTGTTGGTAAAACTTACCTGTTTTTCCTCGTGATATCCCTGGAAAGGTGTCTGGTTCCTTATTGTTGAGTTGAGCATTAAAAATAGCTCTTATTTTATTTGCTCTTGCAAACATACCATCATCTTGCATGCCAGAAACATTCATTATTGTCCTTTGTCTATTTGTGTCCTTTCCACGACGGAATGGCCTCACTGGCGTTCTCATAAGAGAACAATTTCCACGTGCTCTCTCAGTGGTAAATGGTTCACTCAAGGAGGTGTCCGAGTGGATTCTCAATGCCTGATTGGATCGAGAGCTTAAACCCGATCTGAGACTATGAGTGCGATTGACGTGTACGAGAACGCCAGGTTTGAGTGGCCATCTCGGAGCGGGTGTAGGATGACTTGGGCTTTGCGTCGAGTATGAGGACGCTGTAGGACTCGGAGGTCCTCCGTCGGGACTAATTGTAAGTGTACACATGGATTATTATCAAAGAGAGAGAGAGAGAGGATATATAAGCTAAAGCCACTCGGGAAATTGATCTGCTTATAGATTCTACTCTACACACATATATATATATATATATATATATATATATATATATATATATATATATATATATATATATATATATATATTGTAAACCCACATGTAATTTGACCTCAACGAATTAAATTAAGATTTTCTAATTAAGAAATTTAATTATTTTCATTTAATCACAAAAATAGAATCATTATAATGCGATTAATTATTAATAATCTTCCTTTCTTTTTTCTATTTATTTCAGAGATAATAATTAATAATTCAGTAATTAATTTGAAATTAGTAATTTAAATTAATAATAAAATTAAAAATATCTCTACCTATAAATTACAGTCACTTATTTTATCCCTTGTCACTTTATTTCATTTAGAAAAATTAAATTATTTATTATAATAATATATTGTATAACTGATTAAAGAGAGGTTATGTCTAAAAATACTGTTATTTATTTTAGCAGTAAATATCCGGTGAATAATTGCTATTTACATTTTTAAATTATATAAAAGTTCTACTTTTCTATTTTCGGTGGTAAAACTGATAAAATTTAAAATAAAGCTCTGACAGTATATTTTGATAAAAAAAAAAAAAAAAAGATGATTTTCGAATTATATTTTTGAAAAATAATCAAATTTCTTTATTGAAAAGAAAGAAATATCGAAACTTGACTTTATCTACTGACGATCCACTTGGAAAGATTTCCCGGAAAGTGACCCCTCGAGGTTCTATCAGAATTCCGCCGGAACTTCCAACGTAATTCCCTCGGAATTCCATCGGAGTTCCAAAGAATTTCCAATAGGATTCCGATGGAATTCCGATTAATTTTTTTTCAAAATATTTAGTCTTAATTCCGTCGGAATTCTTATCGAATTCCGTCGGAATCCCATCGGAAATTCTTTAGAACTCCGATGGAATTCCGAGGGAATTACGTTGGATGTTCCCCGGCGGAATTCTGATAGAACCTCCAGGGGTCACTTTCCGGGGAATCTTTTCAAGTGGTGAGAAGGAAATTTTATTTTAGAGAATTTAATAATAATTATGTCTGACTAAAAATAACATTTTCTACTAATTTAGAAAAATAATAATAAATTTATTAAATTAATATTTAACAATAAATTTTGAAATTCGTCTAATCGAAATTGACTTTCACTACTCTCTAAATCTGAATTAGTAAAAGTGTTTACTAATTTGAATTAGTAACTCACTTTTTGCTTATGAATTAGTAAAATTTTACTAATTATTAATAACTTTTACTAACAATTAGTAAAATTTAATTAATTCTGAAGCAAAATGTAAGTCACTAATTTAAATTAGTAAACATTTTTACTAATTCAGATTTAGAGAGTACTGAAACTAATAATAAAAAAATTTTCCAGGCTGACTTAGTAATGTACTTTTACTACTAAAAATAAAAATTGTATCTCTTTACAGTTAAAAATTATTAACCTGACTTTACTACTAACATCAAAAGAAAGAAAATTTTCTGTTTCGTCTGACTTTAACTAACCGTTTCTACTAATTCACTAAAATAATGAGCAATTTTTAACTTTCCGTCTGACTGAAACTACTGATAAATTAAAGAACCGTTATAATTCTTGTGTAATAATAAACGAAAAAAAAATTCTATTATAAAAAATAAATACATTATCAAAAAAGAATTAAATTATCAAAAATTAAAAAATTTAGGAAAAAATTTATTTTAGTCAAATTACACTTTATGGAGATTATAAATTTTATTTTAGAACTACATTTTTGTTTAGCTTTTGTGGTGTAAATATTTAAAAAAAAAAAAAGAACAGGAAATAAAACGCGCTTTTAATATAGAAAAACAATACATTTCCTGAATGGCTTTTTTTTGGTGCTGAACAAAAAGAGTGAATTTTTTTTTTCCAACCCCGCAACGTTCACTTTGATATCCAAACGACTTGGATGTGAAACCAAAAAGCGATTCATGCGATTGCAATAGGGAATAAATCAGTGCCTCTGCAAACTCAACCCAGAAAGCCAGGATGTTTTACGACGAGGTCGAACAAGATTATCGATAGGATCTTCGATAATCCAGGCGTAAAGTATCCTACAGTCTTTCTGTGTCTCTCTCTCACACACACAAAAAAAAAAGAAAACAGGTATATGTAACACATGTAGTTTTCGTTTTTCTTTTATTTCCTTTTTTTTTTTTATTTTTTATTTCTGATGTTCGTCTTTTTCAAGTCGCACAACAAAACACGTGACACGATTTCCGTAATACGATGCACACGTAGTCAACGAATTTCATCGTCTTTTATTATGAAAACTTGCATCTCTTGAAGAACTAAATTTTCCTAGCACATTTACGTGAAGATGGCATTTTATTCGTCGTGAAAATTCATTTCAAATTCTCAATATATGTATATATATATATATATATGTATATATATGACCATCTTATAGTCGTAACTCTTATCATGTCGTAAATTTCAAACTTTCAAACTCATAAAACTACTGTAGCGACGAATACTAATAACTGTTTCATTTCCTCGTAATCTCTCGTCTAATTTGAACTTAATTTTATCATTTTATTTTATTTATTTCATTAAATTTAGTAACTTTTAATGTTATTTATTAAATTCATTTTTTCTCTTTTCTATTTTAAATATTTTTCACAAAAAAAAATTTTTTTTTGCTTTTAATTGTATTTTAAAAATTTATTTGATTTAAATAATCAATTACTTGACTATTATAAAATAGATATTTATTTGTCTTAAATAATTATTTACTATTATTATTATTATTATTATTATTATTATTATTATTATTATTAATTTAAAAAAATTGTTAAAGGCATAACAATGTTAATAATAAAAAGATGCTTTTTTTTTGTTTATTTGGCCTAATGGCTTTTTTTTAAATAAAAAATTATTATTACAATTATTAAATTGTTAAAAATAAATCACTGCATTAGAAATCAGAGATTGTCATCACGTATATGCAACATTAGACAATAATCTCTTCCGCAGAAACGTCAATTCAAGGCAAATTTCCTTGTTAGCTTTAGCTTCAGTTCAGCTTTACTTGAATTGACGTTTATGAAGAGATTGTCTAATATTACATAAACGATGACAATCTCTGATGATATGCTAATATACAGTGTGTACAATTAAATTCAAAAAAAAAAAAAAAACATTTTTTTTTTATTTATTATAAAATAAATTTTTGCAAATAAAAAAAATATTACTGAGATAAAAAAAAATAATTAAACTTTCATGTTATAAATTGAAAATCTAGTCAAACAAAATTTTAAATTAAAAAATCCTGACTCGATATTTTTGTTTTATAATACATATATATATATATATATAGTGAGAATTACGATTGGTAAATGAAACAAAATATTCTTATAAAACGATATCAGAGTAAAATTTTATTGCAATCATAAATTGATTTCTGTGAGTAGAGAGAGAGAGAGAGAGATACAGACAGATTGTCAGTGAAAAAGTGATTTCAAAACTCCTTAATTAAAAACCAGTGATTTACTGAGTAATGATTTGGTGTATTTTAACTTTTTAAGTTTAATTTTTTTTTTTTTTTTTTTTGAGTTGAACGATGAGGGAATAGCGATAAAAGAAGCAAAACTCCTTGAAACTCAATAGTTACACACCTCTACATACGATAGTTTAAGTAGAAAGTAGAAAAGAAATAACAATGTTTGAAAGTGTGTGTGTGTGTGTGTGTGGATATATAAATATAGGACAGTGAGGATCAGAGAAAGAGATCGAGCCATTTCATGGTTGGTGAATCAAGAACGCTTCCCATCCCCTTATTTTTAATCTAGCTGCTATCGTAGGCCATGCCATTTTCTCTCTACGCTCTTTCACCATTAAACCTCTCGCTTCTATTACTATATATATAGACTATATTCGTTGAGGCAGAGAAAACTATACCGAAATTGAACTATATGCTTTTTTCCTTTCATCCACCACCATCAACCACAATCCAATGAAGGAAACCACGTTTTCCAAAAACCAATAACATTAACTTATTCTTTTACTACGAAAAAAAAAAATTCATTTATTTTTATTAAAAAGGGCACTTGCATTTATTAAACGTAACTTTAAATTTCAAACATACTTTCAAATATATATATATAATTTATAAATTAATTAGAAATATTAATAAATTTTGACCTAATTTCCATTCGACTTTGCAAAAAAGCAATACATAAACAAAATATTATTATCAAATAAACTCTTTGAAAGAAATATTTTATTCATAAATTGTTTAAAAATTCATAAATTTTGTTATTGGTTTTCTGAATAAAGTATTAATAATAATTAATAATTAATTAAATAACTAAAATCCAAAGTTTGAAATGTTAAATTAATGAAACGCTCATTTATATCATATTATTATTATTTTCAATGTACCTTTTAGATCCCAGGGGAAATTGACAAGACTGACGATTGTTTAAATATTGGACCAATTCTCATCGCCAATATTGGTCCATAACTGAGAGTACGTAAAGTCTAATACCCGGTCTCAGATTTTTAAATATTAGAACCAATATATTGATCAAAGATTCTCTAGTTATAAAAAAAACGATAATTTAAAAAAAAAAATTAAATCTAAAAAATTTAATTGTAATAAAATTTCTTTTTTTTTGTCAAGGAAAAAAATACTGCCACATGCATCTATACATAGTTATAATCTCTACAAATGCATTTTTCTCTAATAATCAATGAAATTCTATATTGAACCTTGGAAAACTCTTAAAACTTCGTCATTTCTGTACTCTCAAACCATCCACAAGAATAGAAATGGAAATCTATTCAAGTTTTAATTAAACTTGTCTGATTTCTTCCTATCTCAGAGTTAATATTCTACAGGCATTTTTTTTTCTATCTAGTAAATCTTGTGATAAGTAACTTATTGAGCGGAAACTGA